GAAGGAGCCGAAGGTGGCAATGGCGGATGGGGCGACGATAGTGGAGACAATGAATGGGAGAAAGATGATGAGGAAAGGAGGAGGAGGAGGAAGAAAGGAGAGAAGGAAGAAGAAGAACAAGAAAAAGAAAAAAAGAAGAGGAAGGAAAAGAGAAAGCAGAAGATCAAATCACAAAATTTACTAATGAATTTTACTCATAACCAAATTTGTCGATAGTTGTCATCGATATTTATCGACAAATTTTAGGTTGTTGGTAATTATGGATGAATCTCGCAATTCATCAATAAAATTTATTAATGACTATTTCATCGATAAAGTTTTTTACCATCTGTAATCCTTTAATAAACTCAATTATCAACAAATTTTTATTATTATCGACAAATTATGTCTAGTGATAATACAATATTTTCTTATAGTATGCTTGATATAGACATTGTGTTTGTCATCTTCCTCCTAACTTCTTTCTTCTTGCTAATTAAGGTCAATAATAGTGTGGCTTAGGAAAAATGATGTCCTAATGTTGAACCAAGATTCTTGTAGGAGCAGGTTCAAGATTCTTGTATCTTCAATAAAGGAATAAGGAAGAACACATGTCTTGAACTCCATATCTTAGGCATATTCTTGTGAGAAATCAATCCAATACATTATTGCTATAATCTAACTTGATGTAAAGATTTGATTTTGAAATCTATATCATGTATGATAAAAGTCAACCCAAAATCATAATATTCTCTATGCATTATTAATACCTTCATTTATAAATATTGGAATATGGATTTAGAGTTAGCTCAAGCCAACAAAAATGATTAGGCTGAAGACTAGTCCACTTATATATATTATTTTAAACTTTATCTATAACTTGAGACTTGAGTTTTTCTCAACACATTCCTACGTCTAAAGGTTTTGGACTTTGGTACATGAATAATGTGATGGATAACCTTTTAAATAATGTAAAATGAATATCACATATACTTTTATAATTTTAATGTATAGTGATGAAACTTTTTAAATGCTTTATTTTTTTTTTACTCATTTCCATTTTTAAGTAATAAATTGGATTTTTCAAGATATTTGTTTTAATTTTGTCTTTTTAGGTTATCTCATCTTTACTTATTGTTTCAACCATAACTTTCTTTGTAAATATAATTTTTGACTAATTTGAGTTGTATTGGATTCTATACTTTTAATATTTCAATTTGGATATATAATTTAATAGATTTGTATTCCTCCTACTATTTTTTATGACTTTTAGAACTTGAGACAGTTTTGTTGAAAAATTGTAAATAGAATACAAATTAGCTTATCAGTTATAATTGGTATTAGATACTTGATTAGAAACTAAATTAGGTCTAATTTAACTTTAGATTTGAAAGACTATATACAACTTTTAATGTACTAAAACTTGGGAGACGAATCATTTGAAAAATTTCAGAGTTTTACTGTAGCATCCCAAAATATAGTAATTACCATAATTCAGAATTAATTAGAATTAACAGCGACATAAACAGTCTTTGCATTAAACTCAGCGTTAAAAAAAAACCGAACGGCATCAGTACAAAAGAACGTACGTTCAAAATAGAATTCAGAGATAAACAGGAAGAACGGTTTTACAAAACATTTAACCGTACGTACAACTATTCTACCATTTACATCACAAATCTAACGAGCACTCTAAGGCTCGGCCTTGACTTCCACCTCAACCAGATTTGCATCTTCCAAATTTTCTTCTTCCAGTATTTCTTCAAGAGATGCACCACCATCTGCTCACATCCACACGGATGATCATTGCATTTTGACAAGACGAACGTACAAGGACATGGGATAACACAATGGAAAAATGCAAGGGTAAGCTTATATCATTTAATTCATACAACACACATACAGTTTACACTTCAGTTCACACATATAACAAGTAACTTAACATATAATTTAACATAGAAATATGTATATATATATATGACAGACCGTCCGGACTGTATGAACCATGTGGTTACAAGCGTCCTTGCACCCGAGTGGTGTACTAGCCGGGATATACCTAATCAGCTACCACTCGAGGTTAATCCCTCGCCCATAACTAAGCGATGAACGAAGAACCTCCTGCCATTCCCCCACATGACTACCCCCTTCTACGTGAAGATGAGTATCACGGAATATCAGGATGGACCGCGAGTCCTAACTTATCCATGTTCATACTTTACCAAATTTAACATTTAATACAACTGAGACGTTCCTCCATGGAACGCTCGTTCAAATTCCATAATCATAAAATCACTTAATATAACGTTCGCACTGTAATTTATCATAAATCTCATCTTTAACTTTAAGAGTACAAAAGGACGAACGTTCAGTCCTTTGAAGAAAATAGGACGAACGTCCAAATACAGTACTGGATGGACGGACGTAACTCTCTGTTTGACCAGTTAAATGAACTGACTATATTGAAGGTATAATGATATTTTAGAAAATTTCATAATATAGATCTTGGACCAGATTCAATGTATCAAGGATGGTCAATAACACTTATAATTTTCTTTGTAAAATTTTTGTATATACAGAACTGATGCCCGTATTTGAACGAACGTAAGAGGATAGATATTCAAATGTTAGAACGAACGCTATTTTTGGACGAACGCTTCGGTATCAGACCGAGCGCTGTTTAGAACGAACGCTTCGGTATCAGACCGAGCGCTGTTTAGGACGAACGCTTCGACATAAGGCCAAACGATATTAAGGACGAACGTTCAGTAAAAGACCGAACGCTATAAGGGCGAACGTTCGACAGAAGGCCGAACGCTATATGGGCGAACGCTTCGGTTAAAGACCGAGCGTTCCATATTTATAAAGTTTCAAATATTTACATACAGCTGAGCTGAACCGAACGCTCAGACAATCAAATGGGGACGCTCGTTCTCGAGCAGAATTCTTTCCAAATGAAGGAATTCCATTCTAAGTTATTTTTAAGGAAAACCGAACGGTCTAAGACCGTACGGTGACGAGCGTCATTTATCAAGGGGATGATTTAAGTTTCAGATTTCTCAAACTTAACAAATTTCCATATTTCAACCTTTAAACTTATACTTTATGCTTCATAGGATTTTCAATTTATACACTTTATAACATGCATTCCAGTAACTTCATATTCAACATAAAAATACAGATTTACTTCATACAACATAACATCCACTTTTCATACGTATCAAACCAACATGCAGATTAATCAAAATCAGAAATCATATTCCATAACAATGATCGTCCATACAGCTCAAACATCATACTTTTCATACATGCAATTCCAGATTACACAACATGCAAGTATAAATTAAACGTATAAGCTACCCTTACCTGGATAGCAGTGTTCGCTCAAATGCAAAGATTGGATTTGTCTCCTACGATCTCCTAACCTCAGTTTCACTAATATTCCCACTTGATCTAAACACCGAAATCAGAGTTTACTCAGAAACAGTCCATGCATGAACCGAGAACATGGTTTTCGAATGAAACCCTAATAGAAGAACTACTGGAGAAAGGAACTTACCAACTTAAGATCTAATTCTGTTCGGTCCAAAAGGAAGACCACGGCAGTACGAACACTCCTACGGTGCTGAAATCGTGATCGGAGAAGAGATGTGAGTTTTACAGTAAAGAGAAGTTCACTGGTTTTAGAGAGAGGTTGGAGAAGATGAAGAGGTGTGTTTCGTGAGGAAGAAGATGAGTGGTGCAGGTGAGAGAAAGAGTTTTCGAAATCTGATTTTTGTTAATTCGCGTTCGTTTGAACGAACGTGTCCCAGGCTGACACCTGCACACCAAACTCTGAATTTGGAAGTCTCTCCAGCGACACGTGGCGTGCGTGCATGTGAGGCAAAGTGCGTTTTTAATGTTGCAGAGAATGATGTGGCTCGGTTTCAGTGCACAGCAGAGGGTTTATCAGATTTGGAAACGGGTTTTAAATGAGATAAGCATGGATTGTGGTGTACATTAATGGTGATATGACAGGTAATTTATAGAGTTAATTTTCAGGGTCTCACATTTACTTTTTCTTTTCTTTTCTTTTCTCTCCTTTCTTCTTATTTTAGTTTTTGCCTTTTTATATTCTTAGTTTTTTTTTTCCTTTTCTCTCTTCTTTTCTTATTTTAGTTTTTGCCTTTTCATATTCTTTTGCTTTGCTGCTGCGTTTTCTTATCTCTTCTTTGTCATGCTATATTTTCATTATTCATTGATCTATTTGCATTTTTTTTCTCCTTTGCATTTTCTTTAATGCTCTTGCAAGTTTGATTTCTTGCTCTTTAATAATGCACTTTAGTCTTTTGCATTTTAATTTTCAGCGATTTCAGTTTCCAACACTTAAATGCATTTAGTTTCTTGATTTCAATTTCAATTTCAATTTGCATTTTCCATTCTCAATCAAATTAATTTATGAAGGAATAATGCTAACAATGGAATACAATTGAATATGTATCTTCGAGAACGACGTAAATTATACTGCATATTGCAAAATTTAAAAAAGCTTAGATTGGTTGAAATCAAAATATGCAAAATTAAAAAAACAACATAGATTGTTTGAAAAAAATACACACTCATACTATATTGATATGTGAGTTTAATTAACTCTGTTGGCAGAAAAACCAATTTGTAAATGAGGATGCCCCTCTTTTATATATATATTACACTATATCTTATTTAGGACTTGGGTATTTTTTTCCATAAGAATCATACTTTGCTAGTGACATTTCATATAGTATGCTTTACCATCACAATTAAGTTATACAGCTATACCATATGGTATACAAAATACAATTCTAAAGACTTTATTATTCTCATTTAAGATAAATAAACAACATAATGAAAGGAATATCTTGTATAATGAATGAATGACACAGTACAATGCAAAGTAGCAAGGTCAATATACAATTAGCCATACTTGGAATGAAAACGTGAAATGTTAATTTTTAACCATCTTATGTAAGTTAATGAGAAATGTCTTTTCTTCTTATGAAACTATCATCAGGAAGGAACATTTTATTGCAGTTTCATCACCCTCCAATCATGTTTCTGTACAACTTGTATTTGTATATCTTACTATGGTTATGTGAAAAATATGAACGCTAATGCTGATGAATAAGAAATTTGTGATGAAGACTGCTATCATGCATATGCTTGAAGCAATTGAATATGGTGTGAATGAATCATTATATCATTTTCTCAAACTTATCAAGTTTCTTCACCCGTTGCATAGACCTTAAAAGTAGTGCCGCAAAAATGCCTGCAGATGGACAAGTTCATACCAATCAATCACAAGAATAAAGATGATGTGCACACGATCATGATTAAGAGTCTATTTGGATAAAACTTTCTATAAGTACATATAGAATACAGAAATAAATAAATTTCTCCCTAAGTTAAAACTGATTTATGCCTAGTCAACAAGTTTTTGGAAAAGTTACTATGAGAGAGCATCTATAAATTAACCATAAGCTAATTTTAGCTAATAAAAAAGTCAATTTCGTTTTTCTTTTATTTTGCTCTCCAATAAGCACTTATGGAAAATTTGTCCAAACATTGACTCTAAGTGTGACAAGTTTAATCAATCAGTCCCCAAACAATATTTGAAGACAGTTGTTATAAATCTCACCTGCACCAAGGAATGATCCATTTGCAAATGCTTGATTGCCTTGGCTACTCAAAGTGATACCAAGATTTAGAAAGGTTCCTCCCAATACCGAATACATAGTAGCCATTTGTAAAATTGTTGCTTTCCTAGCAGCTCTTTCAGACTGGCAAATCAAGTTACACCAACTTCAGTTCAGGGAGAAAATGTTGCATAATGTCTAACCTACATTGGACAATTTAATGACCTCTAAATTTAGGGTCATAAACTTGCACTGAAATTCTAAAGAGTTACAAAGTTAACCTTGGTCGTAAATGGTTTATCTCCACAAGAAAACGCAAGATCTAGTGTGGTTTGGACACAACATAGAAAAAAGCTACGTATTTAATGATATCATGATTTTGTAATAAATTATGATCAATAGGAGTTAGTTAGAAAAAGTGTGTTGAAAGGATTAGTGACAAAAACAGGTCCCAGTGGATGGTACAGCTCTGGTACCATGTTTGAGAAGAGAAAAACTGAAAAGAAATATAATGAATTCTATGTATTACGTACACACATGAGTATTTTTATTTATAATGAAGAAGATATTCAACAATAAGGAATGTAATCAATATATAATGGTTTAATGTTTCGATAGATCCTTATTTTCGACATGTGTAATTTGACGGTAGACCCCTAATTGCTCCAATTTTAAACAAAAAAGAACCCAATTGAGACGCCAAAGAAAAAAGGGAACTATTTGAGATTCACATCGAAAATAGGGACCTACCAAGACATTAAACCATATATAATTAATATTTGGTAAGATATTTTCCTATCAAATTTTATGTTATATCATATATCTAAGTAGAGCATATATATCATGAGACAAGTTTGTTACAAATGTCACACAAGACTCATTGAGAAACTTGTTAAACATGCCAATCAATTCATTATTGATATTGACAAAGTAAATAATGACAAAGCTAGTAGATATTTTTCGAACATGATTTTCTCTCTGTCAAAGTGACCATCAATCTTCAATTGTGCTCCATCTTTTCAAATCATATATTTAACACTCTCCTCCAAGTTAGAACATTTTATCATGAGTCAAGCTTGCTAAAAGTGGTTAGATGTCACACCAGCTCTCAGAGCAAAAATGCACAGATGACATGGAGGTTTCCAGAAAGCAAAAAATGCTCAGAGGTGTACAACTGCTGGAAAGCATAAATGATCAAATGGACATCACACAGGAAGGAAATGCCAATGCCAGTATAATGAATTTCGTGTGTTTTGTACACACGAGTATTATTATTTATGATGAAGAAGAAATACAATATAAAGAATAAAAGCAATATATAATGATGGGAAATATTTGATAAGATATCTCCCTATCAAATAATATCATATCTCTTAATGTAATCATATTTCTAGCAAAGTATGTTGCTAGCATTCCCCTACAACTTGTACCATGTGAAGAAAAATAAATTGCTCACCTCAAGAACTCGAACTCGAAGTTTCAGATCTCCTGACTCAAGTTGCTTGACAAATTCCTCTATTCTTTGAACTCTATATGGCATAGATATTGAATTGGTTCTTGCCTAGAAATGTTCCACAAGACTTGTTAATTTAAGTGAGTACACAATGCCATAATTAAAATAACAGAAGTTTTAAAATATGAAGAAACATCATATAGAATGAAAAGCTAAAATGGAAGTTCCAAATTGTGGTACATCATCGGCTTGTTTCCTTATCTCCTCCACAAGTTGTGGCCCAGTGCGCTGCTTTTGCCTTATATCTAGAAGTTCCTGTTATGAAAAGTTCAAATTAGCACTAAATTTTAACAGAGAATAAAAACGTAACTGGTCATAGATTGTTTTAAACCTGTGCATAAGGTGCGGCAATCTTCACAAAGGAGAAATCTGGATTGAGAATATAACCTAATCCTGCAGAGAAGCAAAATGTAAGTAAAGATTAAACATGAAGAAATCAAAGATTCTTGAATAATATTGTTTCCTCATTCTCATGCTATTCTTGCAGTAGGTTTTCTATTATTTCAATGGAAAATTTAATTGAACGTTATTTCTGATAATTATTCTGTAGCTATATATACAGACTTGGAGCAAAATATTATAGTGTCTCCTAGCAGTCAAATCCATATATAGCAACTAATCTTACATAATAACAGACCACAATACCATGATAGTTATATTTTACTACGTAGATCCACCTTTAATATAAACCAATTTTGGTGTCATGGTCTCTGGTAGGTTGACCTTATTTAGTTTACATGAAGTACCAAGGAGGTGACAGATCACATGCACAATAAAAAGGGTAGCCTCAACTGGCTTGCACATTGGTAACGGCTCAGGAAGGAAACATATAGACAAATTTCACAAGAAGGAGAGAAGGATTCAAAGAACTACTAGGCTTTTGGAGTACTATCCCCGTGAAGCTAAGGATGGACAAAGAATGACATCTTTGAAAAAGGGACATCCAAAGAAGACTAAAACCAACAACTTGAAGCATGGTAGAAATTTCTATCCTGTCTTGTCAAATGTGTAAGTCAATATAACACAATGTGAGGATTAATTTCCTTCACAATGAAAAGTTACACTTGAAATAACAACAAAGAATAAATCAAAATCTAAGGCATATTTCTTGGGATCTGTTAGGCATGGAAGTAGTAGAAAATAGGACTGATTTTTATTATTCTAAATTATAAAAAAAACATTCTCATATCCTCTATTTGTAACAATCTAATTCTCCTAAAACGGGAAATAGGGAAACTAGGGAAACAAAATAAAATAGAAAATTATACATCTATTTTCTCTAATTAGGAAGATTCTAAAGACATCTTCTCTAATTACAACACTCTCCCTCAAGTTGGTAAATGAATATCAATCATTCCAAACTTGTCTACAAGATCTTGAAATCTACTCGGAGGAAGCCCTTTTGTAAAATATCTGCTATTTGAAGTTATGTAGGAACATGAGTTGTAATCACAAAGCCTCTATCAAGATTATCTTTGATCTTTGATGAAATGTCTGTCAATCTTAATGTGTTTGGTTCTGTCATGCTATACTGGATTATGGGCTATGCTTATGGAAAACTTATTGTCACAGTGTAATTGCATCGGATTCTCCACTTTGACTTTAAGATCATCCAAAATGATTTTCATCCAGAGTCCTTAACACATTCCTTGAGCAAGAGCTCGAAATTCAGCTTTTGCACTAGAATGGGATACTCTATCTTGCTTTTTGCTTCTCCATGTTACCAGACTGTCTCCAAGAAACACACAATACCCAGAAGTAGATTTTTTGTCAGTAATAGAACCTGCATAGTCAGCATCAGTATATATCTTCAAAGTCAATTGTCTTCCCTTTTGAATAATAACCCATTTCCAGGACTTGACTTCAAGTATTGGAGAATTTTGTCAAATACTTGCATGTGTCTCTCTCTTGGATCATGAATAAATTGGCTCATTACACTAACTGCATAAGCAATGTCTGGTTTGGTGTGTGATAGATAAATCAATTTTCCTACCAATCTCTGATATAGGGCCTTCTCTAAAGGAGCACTTTCTTCACTTCCAATTCTGTGATTATGTTCTATAGGAACTGTTGAGGTTCTACATCCAAGATTTCCTGTTTCTTTGAGGAGATCAAGTACATATTTCCTTTGGGAGATGAAAATTTCGTTCTTGTCTCTTGCCTTATGTTTCATTGTGAGTATCCATCTACACCCTATATTGCCTTCTTGTCTCTTGGCTTATCAACAATCTCCCAAGTTGAATTTCTTTCTAATGCCTCCATCTCTCATTTCATGGCTTGATTCCAACGTTCAAGTTTCAATAAAGGTAACGAACCATTTGGCTCCAGAAATAGAATCTTGACAGGACCCCAAACATTAGAGTGACGGAGGTGGGCGCATGGGCTACACGCGCCGGCGACGGTGGCGGCGCGTGGCGGCTTCTCTCCCGGAGCGACTTCCAACGTTGTGGTCATCGGTGTTGGGCGCACCTTTCTACCATATCAACGACCCCAACTGGCGACGGCGGCGGTGGTCGGACAGTGGCGGCGGCGCGATTGTGCAGCGGAATAAAGCTCCAAGATCAAAAGCTCTAACACCAAGTAGAAAATAGGACTGATATTTATTATTCTAAAATAAAAAATACATTCTCATATCCTTTATTTGTAACAATCTAATTCTCCTAAAACGAGAAATAGGGAAACTAGGGAAACAAAATACAATAGAAAATTATACATCTGTTTTCTCTATCTAGGAAGATTCTAAAGATATCTTCTCCAATTACAACAGAAGTAATGAGAGGGTTAAGATAAAAGTAGTAAAATGGTTAGTTGTTACAAGGGGAGATTCTTATCTTGTGGGATGTGGGATGTTGAGTTTTTCGAGAGATGTTTGTGATAGGGAGAACCCTGTGAGAAAGGAAAGCAGTTTTCCTCTGGAAGCTTTGGCTTTTACTGTGTGTAAAGTAAATAATACAATGCAAGACTGTCCTTTTCTTCTTTTCCTATCTTGTTATTTTATTACTATTCCTAGATGCCTAATAATTTGGTTTGACCGGCCGAATCCGAAGAAAAGGGGAATTTTAGAAAGTAGAGTGAGTTCTCTAGGAAAAGTTTGGCCAGCAAACAAGGAAGGGTTATGGCGGAGACAGAGACAGAATTGTCTATTATTGAAGATATTTTTAACAAACTTAGTAAATATGATTTATATACACCGGCTTGAAGGTGAATGTTAGATATTGTTAGTTACAATATCTTATGTTCGTTAGAGTATTATGTGTATTTGAGCTTAGTCCATATTTTCTTTTATTATTCTTCATTGTAAATATATTATCCTATGTTTATTTTCTACACAAGGGGAATTAACCCTATACCTAATTTTCACTATTTTCACATTAGGCATGGAAGTATTGAGAGGGTTAGGAAGAAATTTAAAGATAAACGTAGTAAAATGGTTGGTTGTTATAAGGGGACGCTGGGGGTAGTTGTTTTAGAGTTGATGTCAGGTTGGTTGTTATAAGGGGACGTTGGGGGTAGTTGTTTTAGAGTTGATGTTTGTGACAGGAAGAACCCTGTGAGAAAGGAAAGCAGATTTCCTTTGGAAGCTTTGGCTTTTACTATGTGTAAAGTGAATAACAGAGTGCAAGACTTTGTCTTTTGCTTCTTTTTCTATCTTGTTCTTTCATCACTATTTCTAGGTGCCTAACATAATCTGTCCTAACCATATCAAACGTCTAAATCATCATACAATCTACAATGATTACACATTTGTTCTAATTGTGGAGTCTTACACAACTTTCCCTGGGAAATGTTTAATTATCATCTTATAACGAACAAACTAATTAAATTAAATGCAATAGGATGTTAAAAGAATAAAAATAGTTTTGAAGAATGATCACCGATTTAGGGAAAAGGCAGGGAAGAGAAAGGAGCAAACCTTCAAGGGTAGAAAAGGCTCTAATGACAAAGGTGAAGGTAGATGGAAAACGGAAAGGCTGATCTTGTGCTATTGCAAATAAATCCTGCAAAAAAATCCATCAGTAATAAAATTATACAGAAGAAAATACTGTAGATACTTGGAGCAACTTAGAAATCCAACTATAGTAAAACAATCACACAAAATAAATGCAGATTATTGAATAGCATGAAAAACTATTTATGGAATTAATCTCCCTTATGTATAAAGTACATATAAGGTACTATATTTATAATAAAGAAAATATGGACTAAGCCCAAAATACAAATAAACAATAATAACAAAGTAACAAAAGATGAAAGATAAATATAAGATATTTATCTAACATATCTAATAATCTAATATATGTAACACTCCCCATCAAGCTGGTGCAAACAAATTATATGTTCCAGGTTTGTTATAAATATAATCAATTCTTGGTCTCCGTAAAGACTTAGTAAAAATATCTATTAACTAATCACATGAGTTAACGAACTCAGTCTTGATATCTCCAAATATAATCTTCTCTTGAATGAAATGACAGTCAATCTCAATGTTTTTGGTCCTCTCATGAAAGACATGATTAGAACTAATATGAAGAGTAGTATGTGTTACCAATAAGGAGTATTGGTAAATCTTGAAGAAATTTGTTTTGATGATGCTACAAGAAGTTTTAGTTGAAGAAGATATTAGAATTAGTTAAAAGCAATTTGTAGAAATTAAATGTAGTAGGAAATTCTTGTAAACCTTGTAAACTTGCATTTTTAACTGCAATAATCGATTATGGAATGGCAATAATCGATTATCACAGAGTCATACAGGAATAATCGATTATCTCTTCATATAATCGATTATCACATTTTGAAAACCCTGTAACGGACTTGAATAATCGATTATCACTTACAATAATCGATTATTCATGGCAGTTGGGAGCTGTCCTTTGGCACTCAGTGTACTTGGCTATATATTTTGTTTTGGAGAAATTAGAAAAAAACGTTGTTGAACAGAAGCTCTTGCAGAATACTGTTTGTCAGAGGAAGTTCTCAGAAGCTATAGTTCAAGTTCCCTTGCTTGGTCTCGTGAACAGGAGAGGC